GCTCCTGGGTCCCCCCCCCCCCCCCAACCTTTTACCGTCCCTGGTTCTTCTGTTTATCTGTCTCCTACTCACAGTTCTTACAATTTGGCCTAGGGTTCAATGTGTAGCTAAGTTATTTTTAAAATGGTGACACACATTGGTGTTATGTCAGGGCGTGGCTTTCCATCTGTCAATCAAACAAAGTGGGTTACATTAATATTACTGCACCACTAGTGAAGGAAGTAAGATTTTAAAAACAAACCACTGTAATAAACAAACGCTTATTGATTCAAAAGATTTATTTTTAGTCTTTAATGTTTTTAAGACTTAGCGTCGCTAATATAAACTCCAAGCGCCGTTAGCTATTGTGAGTAAATCTGCAGCGGTTTAAACTGAAACGTAACAGGATCATGTAAGTGCAGTTCTATAATATTTTATGTATTAGAAAATAAATAGTCTTTTGTAGAGTTGTATAAGAGAATAAAATATGGTGATTCCATCCAATTGTTTCATTTGATGTTTCGAGTGATTATGTTAATAGTAATCATTTAATTTAAAAAAAAAACAATCGAGAAAACGGACTGACGAACAGGCAAAGAGAATTAAGTAAAACGTTGATGTTAAGTATATTTTAAATGTAGCAGTGAATTTTCGTAGATGAACAATAGAGCTTTTAAGTTCTCGTTCTCTCTCATTTAAATTCAAGTCTCGTGAGCCAGGGAGAGATAGACATTTTCGAACTAAATTAGTGGTTGGGAACGTGGTTTCTACTGTTACCAAAAAAACAAACAAACACGGCAGCTATTTCTTATAAGGCCCTGCTTCAAGATTCTAAAATCATCTAAAGTTTCCAAAATGCAACAATAGTAAAATCTTTTTTCTTATTTTGGAGGAATTTCCAAAAAATTGAAGAAAATAAATGATTTTCTTTTAAAAATATATTAACCGCAATTTCAGCGTAATTTTGTTCTTATCGCTGCTAACAAGGATATGTATATGCATTTCTAAATTTAAAAGTTTTGACGCGGTAATGTGATGAAAGCTGTAGAAGACATAAATGCTGATCTGTAGAAATGGAATAATAGCTTGTGAAGACGAGTTTAATGGGTACCTGATTTTAATGACAATAAATACTGAACAGTCTATTCAAAGAAAAAAATAAATCTACTTTAACTTGGTTTAATAATCCGTTGTCAAAAGCCTCAGCACTCATTAAAAATACGGTTTTAAAATGTTTAAGTGATTCCAATTTAAAAAATCACTTCTAGAATTAGAATGAATAAACAGTTCCTAAACTAATGAAATTGACAGTTAGAAATCAATTTTAGAATTTGTGAGAAGTATCACATAACTGATAATTGAAATACTTCAGAAATATCAGTAAGTTGATTGTTTGGGTATTTAGAAATAAAACTCGGCAGCATATATTTATATTGGTAAAATATGTGACAAAATACTTAAGGGGTTAGGCTTCGGTAAAAAAAATGATACTAATGCAAACAATTTTTTCGCTATAGCTTTTAAAGGTACATTCGCATATGTGTTTACATTAAATAAATTGGTGGGAAATCTTGGTAACTATGACAACAGCGACAATCTTGAAAAAATAACCCCATCATAGGTTTTTCACCGTTAATCAAGTATATATTTTAAGCTCAGTAAAATTTGAAGTGCATATCTACAAAGTAATTTATTATGAATTTCAAATTGCGATTCCGTTAAAAACACTCAATTTAATGCCCCACCAAATTTCATAAAATTTAGTAACATACTATAAGCATATAAAATAAGACCTATATTCTTGCACATAATATGCCGCCTTCTATTATGACAAGGGTCAAAATATATTTTACCAAAATGTTGCTTTAAATTTGCTAGTAGCGCAAAGTTAAAAATCCTTTGATAGCACAAGTTGCGAAGTTTCAGTGGCTCATTACAATAAAATTTGATCTACTATATCTAGAATTATGCATAATGCTAGTTTCGATGTACGAATTAATTATTAGTAAGTGTTTTTTTGAACTATTGCTGTTATAATTGTTACATAATAATTTAATAAAAGCCTTATTTAGATTTTTTTTTTATTGACTGACATACTTTAATGGTTTTTTTGTTAGTATTTACTTTAATATTATTTATTAGGCTAATAACAGCTTATTTTAAAATAAAGGCTACATTAAAATAAAAATAATCAATATATAGACATTTTATAATAATATGGTCACATCATGTTGGGTTTGAAAAAAAACAATCGATAGCTGGCAAGTACTAAATCGAGAACTTAGAATCCAACTTTCAATCAATATCATTCTAAAAATAATAAATACATGGGAGATAACCGTGTCAGTAAAGCTTTCTAATGCTATCAAAACAGAACCACCTGTTGTAATGCTGTATTGGTTTAACGAGCGTTCCCTTCCCGCACGTTGCTGCCGGCCGGAACATTAATTTGTTAGTATTTTTATCAACTCATTATCATTGGTGTATTTTTAATCGCGTTACTTTGTTTTCAATAATTGAATTATTAAAATGTAAATATTGCAGGCGCTATATTTTTTTGATCGGGTGATATATATATATATATATATATATATATATATATATATATATATATATACATATATATATATATATATGTATGTATATATATATATATATATATTGATAAATCAATCAATAAATCAATTAATCCATCTTTCTTCCTATACCAAAGTGGGTTTGGTTGTTGGGCCACCAACGTTGCACTTTTCATTAAACTTTATCACAAGTCTTGATCTCACCCAGCGTTTTCGGCGGTAATCCAGCCACGGGACGGTGAGTCCACCCATTCGTACTATTTTCCCTGGACTCCAATTCCCAATGGCACAATCTATGCCCTGAGAGATTTTTATTAAAAGTCACAAACAACTGTAATCTTTTAATTTTTTTTTAAAAAAATGTGTTCGTATTTAAAATCTAGTTGTAATTTTTAGTATTATAAATCACATAATTACGTAATTTTATGTGTTTGTAATGTAGAATTGCTGTATTTTTCTGTTTTGTTGATTGGCCTCTGTAGTGATTGTCTTTGGCATTTTAAAATATATTGGTAAAAATTCCGGAATAGTATTGCTATCTGTCTTTAAAGTAATTAAATTTGAGAGTTATAAATAATTTCATTAAAAAAATAATGTTCTAACCACAATTACATTATTATTATAGCTATTTTATACACAATGAAAATCGATTAACATATTTTCAAATTCTTCTTTTGTTGACAGACATGGAGACCATGTTTAATAAAAAATTTCAACTGGTTATGTTAGCTGTGGTGATTTTTATCATCAGCTCTCAATGGGCAGAAGGTGAGTGAAGTCTATGTAAAACTTGATGTGACGTAGGAACCTCGTGGTCGAATAGTAGATCGTACGACTGCTAATCTAAACGTCTCGAGTTTGGATGCCGGGCTTGAGCATATAGCACGTCACTCATCTCTAACGGGTGGCTAGACCCACGTAAGAGAAACAAGGCGGCTAAGCCCACTGATGACAAGAACTCCGCTTTATGCCGTGGCTGTTAAAAAAAAGATGAGTTGTAATTCATCTAACACATATCTGTTAATCTCAAACGGGAAAATATATTGATGATGAAGTTAATGTGAGGTAAAGATGGAAGACGTCATTAACATATAGTGGTATATGACGTTGATGGGAGGTAGGAAACCATATGGGTGAAGAATGCCCTACGAATGTAGTAGTGAAAGACCGGGTGAACTGATAGGTAAATGTAATTTTCGATTGGTTAGTGGCTTGAGCAGGGGTTGATATAGGATTTGTAATTCTTGTGTTAGATTATCCAGTGTAATACACACAGCCCGCTGTTATACTTTAGAAGAGCTTTATCAATCATTTAAAAATTTTCAGAAAATAAGCTATTTTTGTGTTACCAAGTAAAATGATGAAGGTAAAGAGATGCAAGTCAGTTGTGATCTAAACTGATGGTGGATAAAGTCTGACGAATTTTATAATATAAGATGTTGAATGTTGTGTATTAAAGAAAAAAAGTTAAGTTTTGAGAAGGAAATCGCAAATTTCACTTTCTACTACGAGCCTTTTTTTTACAAGTTTTTATTTAACTTGCTTCCTAAGTCTGTCGTCAGTTATTTTGTTAACAGTCAGTCTGTCGTCATAGATCGAAACGGGCGAGCGAAATTTCGACTGATTCGTTTCAAAGTTGGCACATGGGTCGTAACTTAAAGATAATGCAATCTGAAATCGAATTTGACTTCATTGAATGCTTAATTAAAGTATTAGTAATTTATATATTTATGTGCGTTTCTAGAGAAATCGGAAATAGCGTAAAGTCATACAATATCCGGTCAACGGAAATTACTCAAAATGTGATAGATGGCAGAGAATTAGATATTTTAATTGTATGTGAAAGTTCGTCTATCTATCTCAAACAATGCTTAAGTTAAATACTTTTCAAAAACCAAAAGTGGAATAAGTTTCACTTACGGTTAACAAAAATGGCTGAAATGTTGATACAGATCTACAAATTTGATATATAATACTTATATGAAATTTCATCAACCTAGCTTTAACGGTACTCAAGATATCGTGTTCAAAGACAGACACACAGACACATACACACACAGAGAAATGCTGACATAATTGCAAAACTATATTGTTCCGACTCTTGGAGGTGTAAAATGTAGAGATTTTTGAAAATCCCAATTTTGATTTCTTGCATTATTACAATACATCCTCTAAACTTCGTACACGAGAAATAAAAAATGTGTACGTTGTGGTTTTACTCCCATAAATTCAGACGATGTTATATTGCATCACACAGTCAAATGAACACGTAAGAATACGGGGCGGGCAATTTCTCAGTGAATTTAAAAAAGAAAGAGGTGGTATAGAGTTTGGGTATCAGACATGATTTCCAGCAATCCGCTATATCCTATTTGACCATTACCTTTTAATGTATCCATATACGCTATTAGAAGCTGCACTTTTGTCAAAGAATAAAAACAAAACATGAGGTACAAGGTATTCCCATCTGACATGTATATGACAGGTTCAAGCCAATGGGACGGTGCTAAAGTGGTGGACGGAAAATGTTATCTGCTGGTACTAACATCACTGAAGTGGGGCGAAGCTAAGGTTAGTGTTTATTCTTATCTAATTATGTTTCTGAATTTTGTCTTTCTTTTATTTGCGATCGCATCAATGACATTGCCTGTGATAGGAATATTGAAACTTGACCTGAAGAATTTTAGTGAACAACCTACCTATTTTAAAAATCAAATTATCATAAAAACCCCTTTCATTTCTGTAGAATTGTATTGTTGTAAGCACAGCCGTGGATATCTGTCTTTCTCACCATATTAATTGCTGAAACAGATCGTAAATTTATACGCGTTTATAGTTCAACCACACGAAATATATAGGCACCACCAAACAATACATGCTAACTAATTAGATTAGATGTGGTGTACACAGGACTTTATAAGTAGGACTGAATAAAAATCTTTTTATTTGCTATGTGTTATAATTTTCTGATACATCGCTGTACTTATACATGTTGTTTGTTTTAAAATTTTTACGTTAACTTTCATTCGTTCTAATTAAAATGCGATGCATAAAGTCTTTAAAAAATGACTAGTTATTACAATATTAATAAATATGTATGCTATTGCCATATTTTTGGTCTCTCCTTTATTAAGGACTACACAACGTACAGGGCACGATGAAATATATCAGATAACTCTTTTGCTGATACTAAAAATAATACATAGGACTTATATACATATATATATAAATGCCTATATATATATATATATATATATATATATATATATATATATATATATATATATATATATGTATATATAATACTGCAATAATATAATTAATAATAAAAGGTTTAGAACACAAATTACGATACACATTACTTAACACACTCCACGTCCTCCTCCAAAACCACGCGCCAACCAACCGCCACACACCCTAGCTCACGCTCTGTCACCCCTCAACTGACACACCTCACGTGAACACTTTTCGTTTTATGTAGACACACTCAACCAAGGGCTACAACTACATACAAAAAGAGAAGAAAGTAACTGTCGTTCGAACACATAACACATACACAATCATGTAAGGGACGTACCAAATATAATTACATTTGTTTGATCCGACAGCAAGCATGTGAGGATATTGGAGGAACTCTTGCAACAGTGGCATCAGATGCTCTTATATCTGACATCAGTACAGCCTTTAACTTTTTCGGTATGTACACAATATAAGCTTGCAACATACCCACACAATTAGCTTGTTTGTAGCGTGCTGCTACATACACACATTAGCGCTTTGCAACGATCTCAGAAGTTTAAAAATATATTTTATCGCTATCTACAAAGGTGTATGTTTAGTCGCGTGAATTATATGTTATGATCAAATTGTGTACCAACGAATGCACGGTATTTCAGTATTTAAAACATAAATTCGTGTGTTATACTGTAAAGCGAATTTCAGCTCTCCAATGATAGTAAGAACACAGGAGACTGAAAAGCACAATATGGACTAATTTACTAGGCGTTACACATATTCGAATATCAGCGCGGAGTATTACGTATATTGATTTTAGAGCTTATTTTATTTTAATGTAAACAACGTCGGTACTACATTTCTTGCTCTTAACTGTTGGGGCGCGGGTTTGTCCATTACAACCAGGGGCGTCCTGAGGCGCTAGTGTGGATACCGCTTACCTGTTGGGGCGCGGGTTTGTCCATTACAACCAGGGGCGTCCTGAGGCGCTAGTGTGGATACCGCTTACCTGTTGGGGCGCGGGTTTGCCCATTACAACCAGGGGCGTCCTGATGCGCTAGTGTGGATACCGCTTACCTGCTGGGACGCGGGTTTGCCCATTACAACCAGGGGCGTCCTGAGGCGCTAGTGTGGATACCGCTTACCTGTTGGGGCGCGGGTTTGCCCATTACAACCAGGGGCGTCCTGAGGCGCTAGTGTGGATACCGCTTACCTGTTGGGGCGCGGGTTTGCCCATTACAACCAGGGGCGTCCTGAGGCGCTAGTGTGGATACCGCTTACCTGTTGGGGCGCGGGTTTGCCCTCAACACTCAGGGGCGTCCTGACGCGCTAGTGTAGACACCGCTTACAAATTTCATGCCGCCTGTTTTTATTAAATTACTCACTGAATCTTTAAAGGCTATAAACGTTGATAATGAAGCAGGCACCTTCTTGCAACGTTAAATTGGTTTAACTTGCGCGTGGATTTGGTGCGGTGTGAAGTGGTGGGCTCAAGTTCCATCTGGCTTGAACTGATCTTTCTTCTCTAGAACTAAATGCTGTAGCTGTTTTTAGGGTTGAGATACTTTTTTTTTTGTCAATATTGCTTTTAATATAGCAGTACTTTTAATAGGCCTACATGAAAACGTTTATACACCCATGCTAAAATCTGCTTTTAGTTTTATAAAAAAATATGTAAAACCTCTTTGGTTTAGTTTTTAACAGTGTGCAATAAGATTCATTTCTAAAGGTATAACTAGGTATTTTTTGTGTCAAATCTAAACTGTAGAGAACGGTTACTGGATTGGTCTAAACGACATAGCAACTGAAGGAACATACGTGTGGACTGAGGACGGGAGCACGGCTAGTGGAATCAGTAGCCTGTGGGGTGAAGACAGACCAGTAACTTCCCCGGACAACGAATTTGACTGCATCTACGTCGACGAAACTAACAAGTTTTTAGACGTACAATGTGGTGTTGTTTCAACCTACTATCTGTGCGTGGAACCCAGTAAGTTTAGTATGCTATTTTCTTCAGGTCCTCGCTTTGTATCATTGATACAATTACACATAATGGAACTAAGACAATGCCCATCGCGTGGCCTTATGTTGCAGTGCGAACATCTTCAAGTATTTTGACTGACACATTAACACTTTCAATGTTAAGTTAAGCAATAATAAAGCGTGGGTTGTCTTTGTATCGGTAAGATTGCAATTAAAAAAATATTTTAAAGTACAATAATTACATTTTCGCATATTTCGCAACCGCATTTGTCTTGCACACAATAAAAGTTGGGAAAATAAAAATAATATATTTATTGCATACCCGTTTTCTATATTAACTGCTTAAATCGTGTTTAATTATAGCAAATGTATTAAATGGGAGTAAAAACTTAATTTAGCTTCAATTATTATTCCGAAACGGTACAGCAATTAAAAAAAAAACAGTAAAACAATGGCAAAGTCTTTCACACAGTTCTGGAATTTAAAGGAAGTTCTGTAAACCATACTTAATTTGGCGCCAGATTTTATTTTTAATACAAAACGTTTAAAATTTAGATAAATTGATTTAAATTGCATGTTTAATTCGGCTTTACTCATTATTTTGTATCGCTAATTATTTTTAAGTGTTTCTGCTAAATTTTTCTGCCACTAAATATTATTCTTATTTTTTTTTACTATTTTTGTTAGCATTTTTACTAGGCCTAGCACTAGTTAGATCTAGATCTAATTTATTAATTTTCGAACCATGGTTTACCGTAACTTATATTTCCGAGACTCAACAAACATTATCGGATTATTTCCGACTCTCAACTAAGGCTTTTCCTAAATTTGTATTATTTTCAGATTCGACTACAACAAAATGTATAAATGTTGTAATATTTTCAGATTCGACAACAACAAAATGTATAAATGTTGTAATATTTTCAGATTCGACAACAACAAAAGGTATAAAAGGTGTAATATGTTCAGGTTCGACAACAACAAAATGTATAAATGTTGTACTATTTTCAGATTCGACAACAACAAAATGTATAAAATGTGTAATATGTTCAGGTTCGACAACAACAAATGTATAAATGTTGTAATATTTTCAGATTCGTCTACGACAAAATGCCCTGATCCAACAATAACAACGGAAGCTTCTGCCAATGGTATGTTTTTAATTTACTTGGTACTATCTATAAACTATAGCACGTCTTTATTTAAAAGGTTACAAAAAGTAATTATTTTAATGTAACACATATGGTTGCCAGCCAATGGGGGGATAAGAATACAGTTTTAATTCATTGGGTTGCGGCCCCTGTGGGACCGCAACTGTTGATGTAGTTTTTTTTGCATGCTCTGCTGTGAGCGATTTTACCTGTGTCTCATGTCATGTGACCATGGACTATGGGTGGTTTCGTGCCTAGTCGTGTCAGTCACACGCAAGGCTGCTGTCTGTGGACACGGAGGGTGACGGTACCAAGAGGTAGACATAACAATGTAGACCTAATGAAGGGCTACAGTTTTGCTTTTTCTTCTTATTTGGTTTGTTCCATTATTCATCTCTAATCGTCGTACTACTGTTATTCTACATCGCCGTCATGGCTCGGTGTACTGTAGAATAAAGTCAATTGGTGAACAACAGCGTCGCTTCAATTAGTCCTAAATCTCAGGGTCAGCCCTTTTAACCAAAACACCTCAGTGGTTAAAAGCATCCCCACTGAGTACGGGTTACATTAAATTAAGCCTTTCCTTTATTTGGATTTTAGTTTAAAATTTGTTAAGTGTGTCGGGGGAAATTATTAAGCGAAAATCAACTCACATAAACTTTCTCGACTGCGTTAAAACCTCGATTTCGATATTTGCACGATCACAATAAGCCTACTTACTTTAAATTTCGTATATGAGAATGTAAAAATGTCATCTTTGTGATTTCACTCCGTCAACCGTCAGACGCTGTCATATTACATCACACAGTCAAAATGTCATATGACACACTGCTTATAATAAAAAAAAACATTTAAAATGCTGATTTATCTAATATATAAAGCTCAATTCTGTAACTTTTAATATGTAACGTGTAAAATGTTTGTCGTGGATACTTCAATGGATTTAAGTGTTAGGTTATTAAAGTCCTTGTGGTCTAAATTTAAGAGTTAAAAAATTAATATTGAAAGTGTTGGGAAATAATTTTCATTTTTCAAACTGAAAGTGATAATTGTTGGCATGTTCATTAAACACAAGTTTAAAAAAATATCATCTTTTACAAAAATTCTATTTAGGTCTTTATTTAGTCCTTTAGCACTTACTTCCCTTTGATAAATTAGGAAAACACAATTACTTCCCTTTATAAAAAACATTGCGTTAGTGGAAAAGAATTTACTTTTTATTACTTTGTTTTGGTGTTGGGAAAAAAAATAATTACATAATTAGCGGGGATTGATCAAGTGCAAATGTTGTAGGTATTTTACGGATAAGCTTGGAGTATTATAATTGTTCATTAAATTGAAACGGGCGCGTTCGTTTAAGTGAGTGCAAAAGACTATGAATAAGTTGGGGTACTATAGTCGTTTATTAAGCTGAAACAGGCGATTCCGCCCCGGGCTAGACTGTGAGCACTTTGCGTTTATGTTCGCGTTAGTGTTTTCTTTGTGTTTAGGTTGGGTTTGCGTTAGTGGCTTGCGTTTTGATTTGTTTCGTTTTTGTTCTTTCTTTTTTCGTTTTTGTTTGTGTTTTTTTCTTTGGGTTTGTATTTGTGTTTGTGGTTTGTTTTGCGTTTGGATTTGGTTTGTTTTCGTTTGCTTTTTCGTTTGTTTTTTTCTTTGTGTTGGTATTGGTGTTTGTGGTTGTGGTTGGGTTTGTTGTTACGTTTTTGTTTTCGTTTGCTTTTTTGTTTGTTTTTTCTGTGTGTTTGTATTGTTGTTTGTGGTTGTGGTTGGATTTGTTGTTAGGTTTTTGTTTTCGTTTGTATTTGTAATTGTGTTAGCGTTATGTTTGCGTTTTGTTGTTTTGGTTTTGGTTGGTTGTGGTTTAGATGGGAAATGCCGGATTTATGATGATTACTAAACAGACAGGTAATGGTCTTTAACAGAAAGGTTTTAAACAGAAGCCAGAGCAGGGCCTGGCCTGGACGGCTAGTTATTTATAAAACGGACATGAAAACTTAAAAAAGGTGAAATTACTTTGTAGTTTAACATTATGTTAAGTATCATCCAACACGTTTCGATGTTTACCTAATTTAACGTATAAAATTATGATCATTCAAACTGGCATTAATCACGTGATTTCAGGAACGACGCCACCAGCTGCTACAACGTTGGCTTCTGCAACCACTACAACTACAAGTAATGTTTTACATATAATTCTTAGCAGTTTCCTATTAAAACTGCTTAAATTTGTATTTTTTTAAACACATGAAACGTTGAAACTATATTGATCTATATAGTGTTTTACTCTAGGAAAGCATTGCAAGAAAGGCTAACACAACAAAGGTTCTCAAATGTAAGTTTATAACAATTCCAGCACACACTGGTGATGTAGTTTCTTAAAATATTTCTAAATCTTTAAAATATCAGTAGTCAGAAAATAGACATTTCTATTTTGCTGTTCAACACTGACAATTTCTATTATGTATATGTAGTTTGAAGTAGACCTATATTTATTTTGCTAAATAAATCAATACATAGTGACCAAGCCGTTGTACATTTAATTATGTTTCGCACTTTGAAAGAATACTAAGCAGAACAAAAAAGACGTAAATGCTTAGATAACAAAAAATATACAGTTTACTAGAACATTATTTAAATATTTAGTAAGTAACAATAATTACATTTAAATACTTATTATATTGGATTATCATTATTGTAGTTACTGGACAGTCTATAAAAATGTATAACAATCAAATATAAAATACATGTCAAATGTATCGTATATATGTAACACATTATATTTCTTTAAGACTGTTCATATTTGTTTTTATCACAGGCTGTTTGACAAGTTCCGTACAGAGCTGATTCCTACATCATTCTAAACTTACTTTTTAAGTTCCTTTCCAAAATAAATCATCTTATTTCGGTCTGTTAAATATTTTAACTGTCGAATTTTACTGAAATTTTTAAATATTTAGTGATGAAATATAATCATATACATTTTCTCCATTTATAACAAATTTGAATAAATCATTCTTCAGCAATAATATCTTTGCTTGTTTGGTTGATACTTTTTTTAAGTATAAGGTCAATGTAGATAGATACTCAGTTCACAATCCATTTGCTTGTTCTGCAATATTTCGTTTGGCTCTTTGGAGTTATATTGAAGGATTTTATTTATAACATGGGCCTTGAACTTGAGTTCACCCGTCTCTAATGAGTACCTAACTCACGTTAGGGAAAGTAAAGGCGGCTGGGCAAAGTGCTGACCATACTATCCCTTCATATAAACAACTCATTTGCTCCTTAGACCGTCAGGTTTGGAAGTGGTACTTTACTTACTACTAATAGCATTTCCCTAGCAAACATACCATACCCTTTCGAGGCTTACTGTCAGTAAGGCGGGTGAAGTAGAGTTTACTTGTTTTTTCGTGACCTCAGAAAATGAATGATGTTGCGATGTTGCGGTCAGCACTCTGCCCAACCGATTTTACTGTTTAAGGCCAAATAAAGCCTTTTTTATGATTTTTAACGGGTCAAGTACCCAAGACGGCTGAGTGGACTCAGAAACGACGTAAAGACTCAAACCCGAGAACCGAACTATAAACTTCCGGCTTAACTGTTATTTGACTTTCATTCAGGTGATGAGAAGTTTTCTCTTAAGAAAATCACTGTATTATATTTTGAATATTTGTTCAAACTCATAATTTTAAAAGGAATGGGAAATTCACTTGCTTCGTTAAAAACTAATAACTTACGCGTTTTATTACTTATCTTTTTGTCAGATTTCATTTTTGGGGTACTGTTCAAATTTTTCTTAGACATTAGCTAACGGTTCCCGATGGGAAAGAGAGATATGGTAAGATGGTAATTATTCTCTCAAATCAGTGCACCTTTGTGTAGTGACAAAGGGGTCTAATAGACCTGAGGAAAACTAATTTACATCTATACAACACCAATATTAAACTAAAAATGAAACTTAGTAACACACAGGTAATACATTTATTTATCTTCTTTTGACGTCACAAAGATATATATGTTAAAAGCAAAAGCAACAACACAAATAGGACCTGGCCAGTCTTTCATATTCAAGAAATATCACTTGAATTCCTAATACAAATAAAAAAGACAAAAAATCCTTAAACTTACATGTTCATACAGAATTATTCACATTGGTTACATAACACTAAAAAATATATAGATTCTAAGTGTGAATAATAAACCGGCATTTACATATCTCAACTTTACACTGGTAAATGTCATTTTCTCAAGTCCTATCCTACTGCTCTGCTTAGGTAATTTCAGAATTACTCGTGTTAATGTTATTCTTCCTAATCCTAATTTTATTCCTTGCACTGTTATGAAATCTCAGAATCACCAATTGAAATATCATTATCCCTAGTTCTTATTTTTTTAACTTGCACGGCTACGTAATCTCAGAATCACAACAACCCAGCTCGACATTCCAGCGGCAGGAAGATTTCCAGCCACTGGAATAAAACATTGAGCCACGGGTACACACATCAGCCATATGTATAAACATCAGGGTGGGACCACAGAAATAAATCTCTGGTCACCGGAACGAAGCACTTATCTACAGAAACAAAACGTTTGGCCACTGGTACCAACATCAGCCACATAGCTAATGGTCACCGGAACGAAGCACTTATCTACAGAAACAGAACGTTCGGCCACTGGTACCAACACCAGCCACATAGATAATGGCCACCGGAACGAAGGACGTATCTACCGGGACAAGACGTTTGGCCACAGGTACAACATTGGCCAACAGTCTAAACATCAGGCCACAGATATAAACATTTAGCACTAAGCACATAATATGTACAGTGAACAAGACGTTGCGCCGCTGGTGTGAACACCAGGCCATATCAACATTACATCAGCTGGGCCACTAGGCCAGCCTTAAGGCTGCTACCATAAGGCCTCGACTAGCCTCTAGTTCTTGCTATGTGTGTGTAAGAGACCTTAACATAGCCACCCTTCCTCTTTTATAGCCTATCCAACCAAATTTTTCCCCATCCTTTCAAACCATCTGCTTGATCCCAAGCTGACACAGGTCGTTGCCTTACGGTCATACATTTAAGGAGACGGCCATTGGGGAGACAGGACATTAAATCGAAACACAAATGCAAGGCGGCGATCTGACCGTCCCACACAGCTGATTAAATTCACACCTCGTGAACTGCACAACTTGAGCCTGGGGACTAAGTTAATCAACGTGACCTAAAGCCCATAATTTACCTGTGACACCCTGGCAGATCAGCGTGCCTTGAGACTCGAACGCCATCTCGTAAGAAGGGGTGGGGGAACGTTAACAAAAAGAAAACTTAAAATAATAATCATTAAAAAAGTTTTAAAAAACCCACGTTTTCTGATTGAACTAAAAAGTAGAAAATAAATGCTATAGGCCCTACATCACAATAATGCAAGCGATCACTCTACTATAAGCGAGCAAAAACGTGGGGCGCCGTGATTTTCTTACAGTTTCTAATACTGTTGACTCTCTACAAGCTCCCTAATAAAAGTCAATAGTATTATCTAATCAATAGTAATATAACTTTTACTTCGGCGCCCCACGTTTTTCATCGCTTATAGTAGAGTGATCGCTTGCATTATTGTGATGTAGGGCCTATAGCATTTATTTTCTACTTTTTAGTTCAATCAGAAAACGTGGGTTTTTTAAAACTTTTTTAATGATCTACAAGCTCCCTAATAAAAGTCAATAGTATTATCTAATCAATAGTAATATAACTTTTACTTCGGCGCCCCACGTTTTTGCTCGCTTATAGTTCAATCAGAAAACGTGGGTTTTTTAAAACTTTTTTAATGATTATTATTTTCTACTTTTTAGTCTTTGTCTGTTTGTTTGCATTAAAATCTTGCTATCGATTTTATCTTTTCACTTTTTTTTGGGTAAACGAAGACAACTCGTAAAAAGACAACTCGTAAAAAGACAACTCGTAAAAAGACAACTCGTAAAAAGACAACTCGTAAAAAGACAACTCGTAAAAAACACGTTCTGTGAATACGTTACTGACTAGAACACATAGATTTGAACCCGTGTCGAGTGGGATAGCAATCGTGTGCCCAACCACTCGACCATATCGTCTCCCCCAAACTGGCCTACCTCCTGTAACTTTAAACTCGGTTCAAGCTAAATTATCTGCCCCTAAGCCTGTGGCGACGTGTGATCGTTCGCTTCACTGCGCGCGAGGTACGCGTCGCTGTTTTTTTTTTCTAATGGCTAGCAGAGGAGAATTATATATATAGATTATATAGCGGTCTAAAATGCTCAATAAAATGTTTCCATTGATCAATTTAGTAATAATAACAATTGAATATTCAATGGTCATCCAAAAGAAAGCTTCCCTGAAAATTTCAGCGCGCTAGCTAACTGGGAAGTGCCAGAAATTTCGATCGCAAGATTTGATTGGAAAGACAAACAAATAAACACACGGACAACAAACAAGCTCATCCACATAGGATGACCTAATATTCAATACCTAAAAATAGCCTGCACTATACGACTATTCGAGTTTGCCTCATCCCGAGTGATGAGCAAACGAGTAACCATTTTACAAATAATAAAATAACAATAGAGTACTAGCCAACACATAGGTCTACATAAACACAGACATAATTTAAACGCACTTTATTAATATGAACATAATAATAAATACCGAAGCAATGACGCAGATGTATTAAAATATAACCCATCGATATAAATATTATATGAACCAGATATTGACATAGGGAAAAGAACAATCCAAGAAAAAAATACACTGATCTATATTTTAATATACATGTTTAAAAAAAAAAAGTTGTCCTTTACATTTGAACACATCAAAATTGAAAGGCGTGTGTTCTCGCTGTTAACACAGCAATAGCACTTATTGTTGTTAAAAAATAGAACGTTGTTAAAATTGATCTAAGTATTATTTTTTTTATTGATGGGATAAATTATAATATATCGAATTAGCCGGTTTTTGTGTGTCTTGATATGTCAAGAAACACATTAATACCTCGGACTATTGAATTTAAATACACAAGACACTATAACTTTAACAAAACATTGAATTTTGTCATAACCCAATACAATTTAACACACAAAAACTATTTTAGGCGAATTTCTACACATCCGTCTTCATCGTCATCTAAGCTTATGTCGACGCCCACTTTTGTGTTTTCGTTGCTTTGTCTTTCTATCTCTAATCCGTCCAAGAAAACGTCGTATTGATTACACCAGTCAAATCTCCTTTAATGATTTATTAATAATGGAAATTTTATTTTCTACATTAATTTTACATAAATCCGAACATTTCAACAAATGGATGTAACTGCCACACACACACACACTATTCATCACACACTATCAAGCTACATCCCACACACAGACTGAAACTACTTTCCACACACACACAAATTACATTCCCCCACACACACAAGCTAAATCCCTCACGTACTCAAGCTACAGCCCACACACACACTCAAGCTACTTCCCAAAAACACACACACTCAAGCTACTTCCCAAAAACACACACACTCAAGCTACTTCCCAAAAACACACACACTCAAGCTACATCCCACAAACACACTCAAGCTACTTCCCACACACACTCAAGCTACATCCCACACACACACACTCAAGCTACATCCCAAAAACACACACACTCAAGCTACTTCCCACACACACACTCAAGCTACATCCCACACACACACTCAAGCTACTTCCCACAACCACACACACTCAAGCTACATCCCACACGCACACTCAACCTACATCAAAAGCCTTTAACATGAGTACTATTTCAGATAGATAAATGAAATTTCACATTTAAGTAAAAGATCTAATTCTCTACCTTCTGTCAAATTTTGAGTAATTTCCGTTGATTGAAAGTACTAATTTACGCTATTTCCGATTTCTCAAAAAACGAAT